GGAACATGAATCAAATATGTATCTTTATTCATTTACAATAAACTCATAAAGTACATCATTCTGATTGAAGCTAAGGGCATACAAAACTGTCTAACACGGAGGTCGGCGCCCAGTACGGGACCAATGGCACAACCGCACGCGGAGAGCTCAGATGGCCGCCCACCTAGGGTCGTACCGCATCCTAGTCGTCCGCATGGTCCATTGTCAGACAACCTCAAGTATAAATAGGGCACTCCCCCCTCCAAGTAAGGGGTCTCCCAACTGGATCCAGAACTCATCCCCTCTTTGGCTTTGGGCTCTCAATTTCCCCAAGCTCTCTGGTGACCTCGTCTGAGTTCCTCGGACCTTGTCTGCCCTCTTTACTACGCCCTCACTAACTTTACCATCAGAGTCCCCGCCTCAGGTTATCGCCCGAGGCCTTTGACATTCCCTTCCTTGCAGGTACTCAGCCGCAGCTGACCTCAGACAGATTCGACCAGCCCTCGCTCGCAGCGCACTTCAGGCTCCCCTAGCCCTCGTCCTTGGCACGCCCTCAAATCCGTCCACTAGCCAACCTGTCCAAGAAGCTAAGCGAATTTACTGTGTTGTCCTCGACCAATCCGAGCATCAACATATATATATATATATATGGTTAGGTCGTTCGATTTTGGTCAATTTACAAATGGTCGGTTTGGGAAATTATTGAACCGAAGCTGACTAGAAATACTAGAAAAATGACCAACATGGGTCGAGTTGGTCAGGTTGGATGGTTTAACCACTTTGATGAAGAACCCTAGTTGAAATTAATTATTGTTATTTTTGTATTGTTAAAGAAAATTAGTAAAAATAGTATATAATATATATATAATTATAAATTTATTTAAAATTTTTTAAATATAAAACAATTGTATATTCTTATATGTTATCAGACCTTTAATAAATAAATAGCTATACCATGCAACTTGCTTAGCACACATACACTTGAAGACACCCTTCGATGATATTCTTTAATCGCTTATTCGAGTCACAACACTCCTCAAGGTATGCATCGAGTCAGATCACCTGCCAACAAAATAAATTCCAATACCCAACCAACAATATCTGACACCGTACATTTCATGAATAGTTGGTCCCACTTTTATGGTGGGCCACAATTTTATAACAAGATGTGCGGTGTCAGATGTTGGAACTTGTTTCGTTGGCAGGTAATCCCAATTCGTTGGTCATGCATGTCGTGCTTGAGGAGTGTACTTTGAGGACCGCCTGATCCCATCTTAGTGAACTCCACTATCATTATAGCCCAATAACATGACTCCAGGCCCAGGAACTTCAACCATTGTACCCTTAAAATCTGCCCCCTAAATTGAAGTGGATATAAATCTGCAGTGACCTCTTAGCCTTGGACCCAAAATGAGACATTCTTGCAAGTACTGTCACATTTAATTTGATTTCCATTTGCCACATGAACCATGAATGCTACCACTATCGACCAGTACTGAAATGGTCCAGCCAAGAGAACCCCCACCAGGCGCATGATTTAAGGGGAAGATAGCCCACCCAATTGGGGCCTATAATGATATTTCTAGCATTTCTAGGCTTTCTGGCCCATCTGATTGTTGCTCATGGCTAGACTTAACATCTATGGCTCCAGCCTCCTCTTCCTGATCATTAGTTATTTAGTATGAAGCAAGAACACTTGCTAGGCTTTACACTAATGTGCTGGCCCAAGTTTATCATCACAGTCGTAATACAACCCCGTTCTATTTACCTACATTTCGATTCGACCCACAAAGCCTTCCGAAGGAAACAACAGCTTGGATTACAATTGTGGAGGACTTAGGTTGATTGGGCTCTACAGGTGGGCCTAGAAATCGGCCTAATCTCTTTAGTCTGTTGATCTTTTCCTGCAGGTGGGGGAGACCTAAAAGCCTTTGACCTCCACTCATATTTCTTCTCTTAGCCCCCCTATGAAACACCCCAATAAAGCCTTTTCAGGCCAACCGCGAACTTAGGTAGACAACCTTTCAAACTCAATTTGATAGTCCCTGATAGATCCAATCTACTTGAGTTTAGCTAAGCTTTCATCACAATCACACGTAGGACCAAAGCAGATACAATAGAGCCTCCATGAAGCCAGCCCAAGAAACCTGAGTTGACTTCTATGAAACCATTGGAACCATAGGATAGCCTCACCTTCGAGGATATGGGAAGTCTGTTGACTAGGAGTATCATAGTATTCAATGTACCTTTCAAATTTGTAAATCCATGGAATCAGGTTGTCACCGTTGTAGATGAGGAAATCCAGCTTGGCTGTCCTCCCCACCAACCATCCTTTCCAATGTTCACCACTTCACCGTCATGGTTGTTGGCTATAGCTCCTTTTCCCAGTTGTACCATCACTGCTGCTAATGTTTCTTTAATTTCTAACAGATCACACGTGACCTTGTGCAAGTGGAGATGCGGTCAAGCTGTTTTTCAACCATCTCCGACCAAGTGCTGAGCATCCTCTGCTTCCCAAGTCTTAGATTGCAAAGCTCTAATACCTAATTGTTGGGTTCCTACGGTCCTACCCAACACAATACTCAACCTCCTCAAAGCGAGAGAGAGAGAGAGAGATTGGATATAACTACTTAAGGCCCATTTGGTTTAATACTTGAAATCGAAATTGGAATGACCCATTCTTATTCCAACTATTTATTTATCCAACGTGTTTGGTGACATATTTCCATTTCCAAGCCTATTAATATGATATGGAATATGGATATTTTGAACCTTGGGGGAGACTCAATAGATATACTAAAAATTTAGACACCAGTAAAAGCCAAGGAAACAACATGAGCAGAAAAGCTAATGTGCCGATGACCCAGTAGCTGAGATGATCACTCGTTCCCCCGAAAATGAAGGTGCGGGATCAAACGGTCAAACCTCCTGCGTGCAATCCGACTGGCCCATGGTTCAAACAATGTCTTAAATATATTTTAATGAATAAATACATTGAGACATACTGGCATCAGAATTATTCCCAGTTTCAATGCGAAGTCTTCCCTGAGAAAATGATGAATACGCAATCAATTATTGAACACCACGCATATTGCAAATATGACTGCGACAAGATTGAACCGCTCCATCTACAACTTCTATCGAAGCTCCAAAGCCTAGAACTGTACACCAGGCAAAGCTCAAGAAAGCTTGTCTATAAAGCCACCCATAAATTGTATACAATGTGATTAAAGTATTCAATTTTTATTAGGAAACTTTTGCTACTAACGTTTTCAACGCTTTTGCACCTTTCCTTATCCTAGTCCATGGGAGCTAGGGTGGTATCCACAACTCCAGTCGCAGGAGATCTTTACGAGTGTCAAGCCACAAGTGGAGCATCAATGCACATTACATAGTACTAATGTCAAGCTGACTTTTGTGGAGCTGAAAGGCAGGAGTGATCCAGCTACCACAGCTGCATTGGATGCCTGACCAGTTGAAGTACCCCAATCGAGTGTCGCAATGAACACAGGACAGTTTGCCTTCCAATCCACCCTCTTCAACTGGACAAGTAGGAGAAGACTGTCAGTAATGCATCAATCCAACAGACACAAATAAGTTGTTCATATGCAATGACATTAATTGAGTTACACAGATCATTTGAGAAGATTTTGGACATGATTGTAGCTCATAATTCATAAAATGATCAAACTTCTTTCCATTGAAGATGAAGATGTGCAAAATCATTTAAACTGCTTTACTTTTTCCTTAAGGCTCCATTTGGCTGCTCCTAAAATGCAAGGAAAATGAATAATTTTTGGAGAAATTACTAAAGGCATTTGGTTTCATGTAAACTGGCTGCCCAGAGGAAAAAAAAACATTTTCAAAACATTCCTAATTTTAGGTAAATCATTTTCAGCAAAGGTTGATCCTGGCAATTCATATCTAGCAAAACTCATTTCTCAAGTATTCAGGTTTTCTTTCCAAGTGAAGCACCAGGAAAATTAGGGATTTGATTTCTTTTCCCATTGAACATTATCTCCCCCCACCATTATGGAAATGAATTGTGGTAAAGGGTACAATGTACAAGTAAGAAACATTGTCTAGTAAACTGCAAGTATCACCCTAAAATTCTTGACAAACACAATAAGAATCTATGGTAAGATTTACGATAAACAATTTACCCATCATTTAAATCAGTAACCATTATCATTTTTAGCCCCTTTCCTAATGTCTTAGCTATTGAATTATGAATAGACTTTATTTAAGCACCCTTAATGGAAACAAAATAAAAAGAAAAACAAGGTGAATTATACCTTGTTTAGATAAGTCAGACCTATAAGAAAGTCAGATGCATTATACCTGTGGTCATCCATCGCAAGGGCTCAACAAAGATAGATGAGCACTCATACGACCTGTTATAAGGATCGCCACTTTTCTCCTTTTGCCATCCAAAATATGTCTCATCCTCGCCAGGAGTGTGATCCACAACATTATCTTGCAATGCAACAACTCTCCTGCACTTTTTACATCGGTAGGCAGGAGTGGACTTAGTCGCTTTACCTGCTGCTACCTCAGAAAATTCAGCTTCACTGGGCAAACCGGGATCAGCCCCAAACTTAGAACTGTCTATCCTCTCCCCACGGTTATATGAATCACCTGAAATAATGGATCACAAATTTTAACTCTCATAGAGAAGCTTTATCCTTAAGGTTGACGAGACATAAAAAGCATAGTGGCAAATTTAGCAATCAAGAGCACTCTAGGGATGTAATTTGGATAATCAAGGGGCAAAGCCCAGCAAATATACTTCTTGATTGGACCCAGATTGTGTCTAGGGCCCAATACTTCATCTCAATCCCTACATCAAGGGTGAAATTCCCAGTCCTGTGTTGTCTAAACAAGGTTAAAGTAGAGCAAACCAAGTCGAGTCCCTAGAAAATTCGAGTAGGAGTGTAGCTACATCTACCGTTTATAATATAGAATGGCACATGGAAATCAACCAGATTTTATTCTTCTTCCTCCTAATTAGAAATTTCCCTACTAAAATATGTAAAATCAATATGACAACATTTAAGCAACTGATTGGGACTCTCAGGAATCAAGAACTATTTTAAAAAGAGCATAGTCAGCATTAAACAATCATCCGAGGCTCTCATCATGTGAGGCAATTTGTGGGTGCACTGACAAGTGTTCTGCTAGAAAGGAAGTACCGAAAATGATTCTCTTATGCATGCATCATGTTGTTAGACAGTGTATGCCCTTAGCTCCAATCAGCATGATGTACATTATGACATTTATTGTAAATGAATAAAGTACATATTTGATTCATGTTATTGTGGTGTATTTCTGTGTAATACCCTTAAACTGGACACATAAGAGACTTGTGTTAGTTTAGAAYCTTCACAGCCGTTGGATAGATCTGGGGAGATTTATCCCGCCAAGGCTGACACTGGTGTACTGCCAAGTTGGTTGGGGTGGCTTGTCTTAGCTACCAGGATGAGACCTGAGGTACATGTAGTGTGGGTTTTCTTGAAACCCTAAACCAGACCAAAATTTCAGTGTTGTCCTGGACCTTGGAGATAGATGGGCAAAACTGGAATGTTACACCTGACCCCTAAACTCAATTATGATACTGCACTAGGTGTCGGATTGGGATGTCTTTGATATACCAATCAGTGAGACCCACATAGGGGGTCAAAACCTGGGTATGTTGGGACAGCAGATAAGATAAGGGATTATCCTTATCCACTTAAAGAGTCCATATCCAAATAAAAGATTTGGATTAGGAAACTCCTAATGAGATTAGGAAAATGTCTCTTTAAGGCTATAAATAAGAGAGCAGGGTGGACCTTCAAAACACACTCACTGAATACAGAGAGAAGACAACACAGTTAGACTGATCTTGCCTTCTGTTCTTTTTCTTCCTGCTCTTGCCGCCCTACCCTGTTCGATCTCCAGTTCTTTGATTGGATCAAGATTCGATCTTGATATTGTTTCTTGCCAGAAGAAACAATCTAGAAGCTGTGCTCACTGTCCCACTTGATTCTTGCTGAAGAATCACTAGTTCTTGGTGAAGAACCATCTGCTGATCCTGCCTCATCCTAAGCTGTGTCATCTTCAGTGGCTGGAGGATTTGGTACTCTCTTTGGGCGTGAACACCTACGTTGGGAGGAGCATTCTTGCGTGGATTTCGTATCAGGTATGTTAGAGTTAGCCGAATAAGGGTAAATTAGTCAACTCACTTTGGTTAAGTTATGAGCTTATGTGGCAGTCTTATTAGAGGTTCTCTGTTCCATACTTAAGTAGGGGCAGTTTAGTCCTTGTACATTTAATTAGAAGCCTAATCACTATTAAGAGGTCGACTGATAGGGTTTAGCTATTAGGTTCGACAGTTCTTTCGTCTTCTTCTTCTTCTCTTCTTCTTCTTCTTCTCC